GACAAATCAATGAGTGTTAACACTTCAAACCCAGTAAAGTGAAGCGCTGTGCGGCCTGATATGAAATTTCACAAAAATTTACGATACTATCTAAAAACATACATGGGACGAAAAAAGTTCAAAAGAAACTGCTCAGATCGGCAAAGAAACCGACAACCATTCAAACAACATTGGCTACCGACATGTTCCTCGCTGCCATTCATCACACTGATATTCTTATGTTTTGCATGAAAAAATATTACTCGAAGCTAGCACGCAGTGGATTGGGACCGATCCTAAAACGATAAGTTGAAAGTGTGGCACATTGCCGTTTGCATTTGGAACGGGTTCATGCAGTGAAGGTAACCTAGTAAGTAACTGGTGGAGGTTGAATCGTGAATTTGAAATGAGAGTGAAGGTGTTTGCTCACTGAAACTTTTATCAGGGAATTCTTTGGGACTGTATTAAACCAGCGAATAGTAAATATGGGCTCCCGAAACTAGGTTACTTATCTCCTCCAGTGTCCCCTGAAGAGAACATGGGAATGTAAAATCAGTGAGGGAGGAGGCCGCAGGCAAAAACGGACAAATAACACTGATAGGAATGGGCAGATGGGAAAAGGTTCAACGCAAAAAGCAGAATGGATGTATCAAAACCAACTGGGGTGGCCTGGTAAGATCACACCCGGACGTTTCACAAGAGATGCTCTAGGCAGGTGACATGAACGGCAGTAATTAATGGGAGACCAGCAAAACGTCCCAGTGACGCCTAAGGGGAGCAACAAGGGAAATGTCTCAGCATTTTGACGAGGACGGGAATGTTCAAATGACAACTTGAGGAGTTCGGTCAGTGCAGTTTGTAAATCAAACATAATCCAAACCTGCGAGCTTCACAACCAATTAATATATCTGATCAATTGGAGGGCGCATGGAAACGGTCGAAAAATCATCGTTTGTGTGTGGTTCTTTTGATTTACGGTCGTTCGGCTGAGGATTCTTCGCGAGCCTCAGACGAAGGGTGCATAATAATGAGGTGTGACTTAAAATATCGTTCTGGAGAACAACGGTGTCCGTCGGGATGTGAATTGTATGTGGTCGGGAAAACGTCAACTGCGCCAGCAAGCAGTTACGATAACAGACCTAAATTCTTACTTTCGGAGGCTTTTGTGCAGTCATTAAACTGCAAACATCCCTAGCAATCTCACGCAGAAAATAACGGAGGGAACGGGAGAGACAAGAATTTCTATTATATAGGCCACCCACAATATGAAGATTGGTCCGACCGAAAGTCGTCTCTCAAGCAGAAGCATGGGCGACGTATCTTACTTGGATGGAGGTGCAATTGTAGGCAACAAAAAGCAGGCAATGGTGAGATAATGAGGTGCACACCGATAGTCATCTTAGCTGGATATTACAGTATTTGAATAACCTCAAGATTACTGACTAGACTATCTCCAGAAACAAATATTGCAAACATTTCGTCACCAACGGTTCACAACGGTGTAACGGTCTGTCAGCGTGTTGTGTTTGAGTAGTATTATACACTCCTGTATTTCTGCGTTTTGTTGACCAGGCGATGACATTAGACTACGATTGGCTCTTCAAATAATCACTCACAGTGCTCAGAAAGTCTCGAAATGTTTTTTTTATTTTAAAGACCTTCCCTTCGGTAGTCATTATCCGGCTACCTCTCTTGTTTTTCTCCCTTACGATGAGTGGTCCAAAAACTTGAATATGATGTGGACACACCAAGGAAACTGAGTGCACCAAGGTAACCACTGGTGGAAGCCTACACAATGCAACAATACCATACATTCATTTCTTCTTGTTGGCTTGGATGTTGAGGCCTGCGATCACAAAGCTGTGCTTAGGATAATAAATGTCCGATTAAAGCCTCAACATTATACTATCAAATAGGTAACGTTGATGTCGTCCACTACCGTTTTCTCTCCTAATTGTTACTTGTAATTTTCTGAGTGTCGGTCTCGTTGACCAACTATCAAATAGGATCCTAAATAATCTGGGCGGTCGCCGTAACAGTAAATAACTGCTTGACTATTTCAACGTGACCTTGTTCGTTCAGTGTCATGGACATGCAGTCCTTATCTGCTGGTTACACTAAAGTAACTTCTAATCTTCCGCAGGTTTCTGAACACCCTTTTGTTTCTGGTTGGAAGCAGCTCGTGTGACTTCGTTCCGGGCAAACGTCGGCGGTTGCTTTTTAACTTACTGTCGGGGACGATCCGTTAACACGTACATTTCAAGTGCGTCTTTTAGGGTAATCAAGCAATTTTTGTGAAACACGTCTGGCACGTTCGCGATGGATTCGCACAAGGAGTTCATCGTTGCTCGTTTCTCGTGAATCTTTCCTAACCGTCCCAACCGACTGTAGTCCTGGCACCATCAAAGACAACTTTTGTGAAGCTACAGGTGGGCTGAAAGTTCAGATATCGTTGTGGTTACCGGAGATCTGAATGGTACAAGTGGGCAGACTCAGCGCATCTGAGGCTCATGGTGTTGACTTTGTTCAACGGGAATTTCAATCGAGGAATATGTCCAGCATCAGAAGCTGTGGTATTGTGTATGCCGATAATCATTTGGCGAACAGTGTTGTCTTCCGTGCCCAATTCAGAGCGGTGCAAGTGGAGAGGTGGTCAACCTTTTACTTGACAGAATATTATGGGTGGATTGTCGAAAGTCTGAGTGCTGTTCGTAGGACTGGCCTTCCAAGATGGTGTTCGTGTGATCTCCTGATTAAGGAAACTGCAGCATATGGATGCTAATCGATGTCAATGGCGTTCCTGTTGTCAGGTTCTACCGATTGTCTGAACGAGGAGCTGAAGTTGTAGGCATTTTGGAATGATTGTGGCAGGCTAGAACTAAGTCCCTTCCCCGTCCAGTTTATTCTTTTCTCCACAATGAGGCTTTCAAAAAAAACTAAAGCTGTGAAGCAGCGAAGTATCAGTGTTGAACACTGATGTTATGCTGTCGATGATGATGACCTCACGGCTGAAGGAAGGAAACTAAATTGTAGCATAAGGAATTAGAAACACTTCATGAGGATAATAGAATGGTGGTGGTGTATGTGCGATCACAGAGTACGCTTCTGTAACACCTAGACCTTGGAAATGGTCCACTAGGACTATAAGGTATGTATTCAACCAGTAAAATGATAGTCTTGGTGGAACTGTATCTGCATTTGATTCCACACCTAAGTAGAGGGTGTGGCCAACTTGACTCAAATGGTCTTCTAATCCGCCGTGATTATCGTCGGTGGTATCAAGTGCAAATGTCTATGAAAAAGATAAAGTGACGGAGGATAAAAGGGGTAGGAAAACCGGGAACCAGTATACGGAGAAATATGTGGGCTAGCGATGAGAATAGAAGCGGAAAATTCGAACACCCGATTGCGTATACACAAGGAAAATGGCAAATCCCACACAGAGCAGCGTCGGCCAGTCGATTCTCAGGGAACCTAAACCCGTTCACACGCAAAGCCGGTTTGAATTACCGAAACTTACCCGATTGATGGCCCAGAAGTAACGAGGGAGCTGTTTCTGATTTGACTGGAAAGATCAATAAAAAAGGGGGGTCCATCATGCATAGATTTCTACATAGCTGTACGTCCATCAGGCCATCTACTCGTCTTACTTGCGTTTGTTTTCTTGCGAGTCGGCTATAGCCACATTTGAAATGAATGAAAGTGGCACGTCCGACTACATGGGTGACACACTTTCCATTACACATTCTGATTCAGCTTAGTGATTTCGCACTGGACTAAAAGTGAGTCCGTGTAACACGAGCATTGCAGGCCATCGTGCTTGCACAACTGGTTTAATGCTTGAAATGATGACCAGTTGGGTTTTGTTCCATCCTTCCTCTATTAAGAAAGAATGGTGGCATCTCATAGGGGTTCATTAGCCTCGAACAACAGACATCCCATGAATGTCAAAGACTCCATATACTAGGTCCTAGCAAGAAAAGTATGTTTTTTATTACTTCTCACTCGGTCACTCTGTATACATTTGGTCTGGGTTGTGACCACGTGCCTACGTTAACTTGAGCGACTGACCCATCCAACAGGCGCGACACAGCTGACAATTGAGCTGTTTTGCGCACATCCCAATGTCTACCGCGAAGATGAGCGTAAAAGTTGAAGCATTAAGGTATGTTTGAATACAGACCGTGGTTGTGACTGTGAGCAATCAGTATCAACACCGACTTGATCGATGTGTGCTGACAAGCTTTCATGGATATTTCCGCCAACGCTAAACGCTGGAACAGAGATCGATAAAAGCTCAGAATGCACAGCCAGATGTCCCCCATAAAGTCTTTGTTCCATTGGGTCCGTCACGTAGGATTATCGAACAACACATCTCGATCCAAGCATTTTCTAATAACGAAAATGAATGTGTGCGGCGAAGGCGCACAAGTAGAATCGCAAACGCAAGAGACGTAATTCGAGTAACATGGTGACCAATCTTGTGAGAACGGACCAAGGAAACTAGGTGCATGAGTTATTTGGGATGAGACGGGAAAAGCATAGTAATCCCAGAAGGACGTGAAGCCGTCTCAACAATCANGAAAAGCATAGTAATCCCAGAAGGACGTGAAGCCGTCTTAACAATCAGAACAACGGCCTTCTTTCCCTATGAGGCTATCGAACCTGCATCAGGTTAGTCACACTGAAACGATTGAAATAGCAAGGTTTCCTGGTCCACTCAGTAAAAACAGCGGGATCTAAGCATTCCGAAAAGTCTTCTCAACAGCTGCTGATTACGCTACATGGAAATGAGTTCAAAAGCGAGTGCCGCGAAAACAACAGATGCATTAGAAACGAGATGCATGCTAAAACGAGAACGTCAAATCAGCTCAGAAAAACGCAATTCGACGCCGTGACTCGAAAGCTTGCAAAGCACAAACCAGACTGTAGCCGATTGATCCTCAATACCTTGCAGATGATTGGACGAATGAAGTTCGTCTCACGGACTCAAAATGAGCAAACGAAACCTGCGGGTATGGACTGTGACTCGTTCGAACCACGTGACTAGCGATGTCCGAAGATGACAAGTACGCTAGTTGATTGGGTTGTAGAGCGACCACAATGACACGCTGTCTCGCTGACTCCGGAAAATTTTCACGCAGACAACTTTCTGTCCGGTTTGCATGGTTGCCATCGCAGCTGAGACAGGAATCTGTTGACCTACATATTGGTTCTATCAGCACGATCCTCCAAATCATCAACAGTGGACCCAATGTGGCTGCCGGCTCTGTAAGGTGGCCTTTGGCGCGTCATCTGTCAGGTAATCGTCACTAAAGCAGAGTACCGTTCGCCGAAGTTTCCGGAAACAGAGCGAAATGGTCCAGTCTCAAGGTTATCTGCACCAGAGGAGATAAGGTACCTCCTTCCCCAGAAAGACTAGTAAAAAATAACGGTTCAGCTGTAGCACCCTTTCGGCACCTAGAGGCTATGATACTCGAAGGGAGCACAAGGCCCGAGATATTGCCAGGTCGCCCAGGCTTAAATAGCAGTAGAGATGCACATCACGGCATGCTATTCCGGGCAGTCGCTACGCATCTGCCAACATTTTACATAGAAGAACGGAGTTTGTGTTCAGGGTACTGACGAGTATGCGATAAACCCTGACTGCTACTCTTGGATATTGCGCACATCCGTCAATGCTGTTGAATCCGTGCAAATTAGTAGATGATTTTTGTCGCCAGATTGCGCCGAGTATTGAGAGCAGCTGACCAGCTCCAACCACGTTTTCGTACGCTTGTTTAACGTACTTAAACTTGACCGTGTTGAATGACGGTAGTATGCTCCAAAGTAGCAGTGGAGACGGTAGAACATTTTAGTCCACAGGAGCACATGCGAATTGACCATCTGCCTCGCTGACTCTCAGAACCACAAGCAGTACAACTTGGTGCGCTTTTGCTCCGTCTCAACCTAGTCCAAGGAGTGTTGTGGCTCAAAGGGAACGAAACTGGTTTCTGTCAATGAGGGAACTGCTTGAAGTGATCGTATCAAAGAAAACAAACGATTAGGCATATGACCGGTATCAATAAAATCCAGGTTTTTGTCAGTGTCCGCATATATTTTAGCAACGAAACCCGGGAGTTTTCAGCATCGAAAAGAAGCCAAACAAGCAAAGCGACGGCTCATACCAACTACGTGCAGTTCAATGTTCCCACTTGTTCGTCAGATATCCAGATATCCCTTGACGTGTTACCGAATGAAGGTATTGCCAACTGCCAAGGCGGTAATCGCTAGCGCGAGAAGGGTAGAAATAACTTTTCATTCCGCTGCAATTTATATCACGTAGTATTTCAAGCGGATCAGTAAAACCACACTTTTTGCTGCCTTTATGCACATGACTGAAAGATGCGGGAAGAAATCATGTACAGCTTATGCTCAGTGCGCTTTCAAAGGGTGCGATTTCGGCTGGTCACGAGGATGCGTGCAGTGTGACTTCTTGCCAGCCGTCAGTTTCGTCCTACGTCAACTGGAAATGACGATTGTGGACTCGGAACTTTTTATGGATAGCCACTAGCTAGTTAGGCTTTGGTTAAAAACTCTTCTTTATCCTCTATACGGTCAGATGCACAAATCTTTTAAGCTCTACAAGATAGGGTTGTTGGATCACAACCTGATTTTTACAGCCATGCATGAGTGGCTGTTGAGCGGATGAAAAGCAGTTTCAAACAAGAACTACGTATGATGGAAATCCGGCAGCCGGATTATCTCCTGCAGAAAACTTGGAATCGGGCTGATAGAACCGAAACTCATCGACATAGTTCTATGTTGCATAAAGATTCAATCATGTCTGGTGACAGTCCCGAAGGCAAAAGAGGTTGTTAGCTGTGTTAGCGTACTGTGTTTCCCGAATCAGTGGAAACTTACCATAAGATTCAGTTTACAACCCAATTAACTAATAAGCTTTCCGCCTATATCGATTAACACAGGCGAGATCCAAGCGAGTCATCATCTAAACTGCTGTATTCACTCAGCGTCGTGTTACGTGACACGAACTTACTCCGTCTAGCTCGATCTGTGTTCACAGAGTTTTCTAGCAACAAGGTCAATCTATTTTGACTATTCAGGACCGATCACTGGCAACTGCCTTTGATTGCTATACTTGTTCTTATCATGATGTTCGTCTTGTCTCTCACTGATTGACTGTCTTCGCCATTAGCACCGTTCAAACACTTTTACGTAGTGTGAGACCAGCGGTCTGAGACATTATTCCCAATGCTCCCATTCCAGTTGCTGCTTAAAGCTTGAGAAAGTGGTATCTGAAAAATACAAGAGGTCATTCGCCGTAGTGGGAAAACAGTGGTAAACTTAACCACAATAATGAGATTTGGGAAACCTACCGGGACTTGGACCGAGCGTGCGAGGTCCAGAAGAATCCTCACTAGATTGGAAAAAATTTATTAGTATCGATGGATGAGCAGGTACCACCTACTTGAAGCAATTCTCGGCGTAAATCATATGCCAGATCCGGGCTGAAGACACTCCTTTGTAACCGGTAAACTGTTCCGGGTTTTTCAACAAATCAACCCAAATCATGTTTTCCGAGGTTGGATCTAAAGTCAAATAGAAATGTGATGCTATATTATACGGAGATTATAGTACCTTGGAGAGTGAATTCAGTGTATGTTAAACTCGACATCACAGTGAATAACCACACTAGAAACCAGTCCCGCGGTGAATTCACCATTCTCACGATGTTCAGTCAGCGACGTCCGCCACAAAATTGCGAACAGATCCACCGTATCACAAACTGAAACGTCCCTGTCCGCAGAACATCCCACATTTACTATGACTTCGTGGAGTGGTTTACAAACTCCGCTGTCCCGTTTTCCCCTTCCGACATACAACCCATGCCCACGCCTCTCTCCGACACAGTCCGCCTTGAAAGTGTGATTTCAATATACAATCAGCAAGTGCTCTCATTTTAGTCTAGAATTCACACTAAAACCTAAAACCTTAATACAAGAATATTACTACCGGGCAAAGACCTTCAGCTACTATTTGCGCGAATCATGACTAAGAGGTGCGATGGTGAGAGTTGCCGAAAGAAACGACGACGTATGGGATGTTGGAATAATACCGTCAGGTCACGAGCCGTGCTAACTGAGAGAGTAAACTTCATGCCTTGTCTCGAGTAAGTGGAGTGATGAGCTGGTAATCGTAGGAGACATTTCAGCTCTGGTTCAGTAATGTTAATTCCATCTGATATTTCAATATTCGGGCACTACTACGACCAACGAACATCACTTGACTCCCATGTGGATTTAATCTAAGACGATCTTCCCAAATGAGAAAACTCTGATCGAACTAAACTGCACTGTCAACGGTTCTGTGCACCATGTAAGGTCACCTCTATCCAGGATGTTGGCTTTTTCCGGAAATGTGACCGAAAGGTCCGTGGTTCGAACCCGACCTCTGCCTCTCGACTTCTTCTGTCTAGGCTTGGACAACATGGCATTATCCCAGCCATCGTACTTCGTCTTGGTGGTATGGCGGTTAGGTGCTGCAGCTGAACGATTTTTTTTCATGGCATTATCCAGCCATCGTACTTCGTCTTGGTGGTATGGCGGTTAGGTGCTGCAGCTGAACGATTTTTTTTCATATGGTATTTGCCGACTTCGAGGACTCTTTAACGATTTATACAAACTTCCTCAACATTAGAGATGGAAGTACCCTTTTTGTATGCACACTGGTACAAACAAATCCCAATGGTATGAAGTGTAGTGTGTCACTCGACCGGAACATCCAGGAACACGTTACCATCGACAGCGCGAAATCGACGCAGAACACTGATCCTTCGCTGCCGTACTACACATACTCAACACTGTGTGAAGCACATATCATCAGTTTCTTAGACCCTCCGTCGCCAGGTAAGACTTTTTAGCAACTTTATGAGTAGTGTATGACTGTATATACCCTGAATCCTCAATTACTCAGTGCTATTCGGAATTGTGATGATCTCGACGCAAAAAGAGGGCGATTAGCTAGATCAACGAGTTCGGTTCTTTCAGGACCGTGGACCAGTGGCACTGAAACCAGACATAAAAAGGAAGTTTCCAAAATTGTTCTAGCCTTTTATGCAGCGAGTCGGCTATGCAACAGAATCGCTATAAACAGATGAATGATCAACCTATATTCGGGAAATCATGTCTGAAATATGAAAAAAATTATACAGAAAACTGCTCACAAGATTCGATTCAGAACATTCACACACGTACCGAATTGTAACGAAATAATCGACATGCTTCATTGCTTTAGTTTCGTTCCACCAGACAATGAAAGGAACACTTTGTAAAACCAGTAAGATAACGTTTCTAAAGTAATTCACCTAAAAACAGCACAGGTTAATCGGCAATGAATTCTCCGATTCCATACACAACAGCCGTCATCACACAGGACGAACTGCGTGTAGCTGTGTTAGGTAAGAATGATCAAGTGTTCAAACTAACGCAAAGGAGGTGGCGGGCTCGAAAATCACTGGCTTTTGTGGGGCACACATTGCTGATGGCTTACAATAAAGATGAAACGGCTATACGATGCATCTCGGCTTTTCACTTTAGATGGGCTTCACTCGCAGGACATCTCAAATGAGGATAAACAGAGTAGACAGGTCGGTCAGTAGGTGGATACATGCTCACCATTTATTGGGACTTTCTAAATCGGTAGGTACCGCAAATCATTGGTTCGGTCATTACAGAACCGAACTAACGGTAACTGACAACGGTTTTAGCAATGCAGTTAAAATCTTCAGAGCCCTGAATCAGGTTATTGGTCGAGTACTGCTGTTTCAATTCCCTTTTGATAAGGCTTCAAAAATAATGTGATAATGATCAAATAATCACTAAGCTGTGACATCATTTTAGTGCCTAGCTGATATACTACTCGAAGGAAGCACAGATAGGAGCGGCCAAGATGCCGAGAGTGGGTTCGAACCAAGAACCTTTCAGTTGGTAAGTCTGCGCCTTAGCCACAGAGCCTTTTCGAGCTTTGCGTGTATAATCGGTCGTTTGTTGGTCCTAAAATCCAATAAGCCCTCAGTAAGACAGCTCGAGTCTATTCCGTGTACCTTACTCGTTAAATTTTCAGGAGACTTGCACATCTTTCATAAGCGAACATAGGATAATTTCGGTCATATTGTTGGGCTCATTTACCCAGCATTAAAGAACAATCTGTCTTTTGATGGCAGTTGGACGGCTATCAATCGTTCGCAAAAACCCAGGTATAACGAAGCCACCGACTAATGCAGCCATTAAATGATACACATTTGGAGAACGGAAACAAACATGCCAACGTGAACGGGGAACTTGAGAAGCTACTGTCGGCTGTTTGGTTAGTTGGGGAAGGGGACCGCAAGAAAAAATAAGCGGATCTATCTTTTGGAATAGGTTACGCCGACAACAATCAGTTGTATACCACGAATTCGGGTTAAAAGCGATCTGCGGTGATATATATATGGCCTGTGTTAATGTACCAAAAAACGAACATCGATAGCAGATTATTTCTATATCCAACTGTGTTCGGCTCAATAAATTGATTGTCGTGATTACTGTCTGTTGTAGCAGAAGCTAGCATTGATTAGAGTTCGAAACTGATAGCCAGATTGAAATTGACGCCACAGTGCCGTAGGGAAAAGTAGAATTGGTTCTTCCAAGGCGAAAGAGTGATTTTGTCCTTGACCAACGCGTGAACTCGTAATTCGCTCCACGTTGCTATCGCTTGGTGCCATGGAACCAATTGCCATACATCAAAAACGTACGATGGTGAGACGGTGTAATATAATAGTCGTTCAGCTGTAGCACCCTTCCGGTACCTAGCTGCCATGCCACACGAATGAAACACGAGGGCTGGGATGCTCCCAGGTTGCCCAAGCCTAGACAGGGGAAGTCGAGAGGCAGAGGTCGGATTCGAACTACGGACCTGCAGATCGGTAAATTCGCGCTCTGACCACTGAGCCAATGGACGAGTAAAAATGCGGCAGCTTACCGTCCATGTCGCAAAAGTTGTNCCGATCTGTAGGGTCCAGTTACCCAGGATTGTTCGTCGTTCCTCGCTGAAACAAAAGAACCCATTAATTGTGGGTAAACAAACCACAATACAGGAGCGGCCAAACAACTCTGAAACATGAATTAACATATTGGCACTGGGACGTTAGTGAGGGTAGAAAAATCAATCGCCCTACAGTCAGAGATGGGAATGCAAGGATAGTAAAGGTTTTGAAGACAGCTTTCGCTAACAATACTCTCTCTGCTGGTATCCATGCCAAAACGTGATTACTGTCGGGACTATTAAGTCGAAGTCTGTTACATGAGACTAACCAACTTCTAGTAAAAACTCCATGGATCCCACTGTGACGCCAGGCATGCTATTGAAACTCAAGATACACATCTGAGGGGATTACAGAGTCTAAACAAAAAAATTTCAAGGGCTATAAAGTTAATTCAGTCGGAGAAAAATACGCTGGTTATTTCAAAAGATGCAAAATCACAACCACAGGGATGTATAGGAAATCAGTCCTCTCTTTCTGGAAGCAGAAACAACCATCCAACGCATGGAACGGTTTATACAGAAAATTTACATCCTGTTACCCGTGAAGTTATGTAAACAGTCGATAGACTCACTGCTGTGCAACGTTTCACTTTTGATAAGAGAGCTTCACCACAACACTATACATTGGGTACAGAACAGATCTGAAAAATGCGGAATTCTCAATGCGGGGATCGAGATTCACACCACAGTGACTTCTGTTCAAAGCGATCTAAACCGACCAAACTCCGCATACTCAACTCAAAGCTCAAATCATATTGTCATAACAACAGCTAGTCTCACAAAATTTGCAAACGATATTCAAGGCGTGTCATAAACCGCTTTTTAAATTTACGGCGACTATCTCCAGAGACAAAATTAGATACACACCGCTCCGGAAATGCAATCGACTACCAGGTCTTCACAAATCGCGACCCTGTGTCGGCTCCAGTGACGGACACTGTGGACCACATGGTGACCGAATTGCTCCATGTTGCTCTTGAACGTACTGAGGCAGGCTTTCAGTCGTCATTCGAGGTGAAAAGAAAACTATCCTTGACAGGGTGTAGGGGTTTAGGTTAGTTTGGCGATTTCGGCATCTATCCTGCCCTACAGATGTCCAGACCATTGTAGATACTGTCGATAAAGTTTAAATAGATGCAGTGGATCACAACATCGGTTTCGGATCCTGTCAATGGATACTTCCTCTCATGTTTAGAGGTCAGGCAGGTAGGTGCATGCACGTGTCAATTTTCAATTCTACGAGCGTTGTTTAGTGAGTTGCGTTATTTAGTACACGTTTGAGTTCTTCTAGGTCATCACCTAACAGAACGATATCATCAGCGTACTCTGGCGTCTTTGGTTAAAAGTTTGAAATACTCTACCTATCTAAACATCATGTCGCCATAGTTGTTCAGACTCTCTCTATTTGCACCACGCACCAAATAATTTTGAGGCCGACACTTCCCTGAAAGCGAAGCATATGAGGCGAAAAGTTTACTGAGTTACATTTCATTTACGATACTATGGCCGACCGGCATGAGACTTAATCTCTACAGGCTAATCGAGCGGCTTTTCACCGGAGCGTGCGAAAATCAGCCGATTTGGTGATACTGACTACCATTGCCTTTATGGATGGAGAAACTGTCCCCTCAGATATCCGGTCCTTGTGATAGCTAGCTGGTCTACAGGGGCTTGTTTTACAGACCGTTTATCTGAACCAGTTACTCAAGCTAGAGCAGTTAGTGTTCAATCTGAGGGTTATAGTGTGGGAATTGCGTTGGTTCTGCTGGTGGTCAAGTGGTATGTGCTGGTGCGCTTTGCACGGTACGTCCTTTGTCTAGCAGCGAGATGGAGTTCAGTCGTGATTTGCACGAGCGTGTGATCTAAACCACCTGCGTCTTCGGAATCTGCATCTCATCCTGCGCACACCAAAATACAGTCTATTTGGAAGGTAGCATGTCAATAAGCATGTTACTGAAAAAAGGTACTGGCAACAACTAGCTGACTAGCAGAAGCGAAGTTTGAGTTTGCAACCGACCCAATCCGAACCCAAGTGTGCGACATGTTGTCATCTTATCCACAAACTCGATCGATTCAGTCAGTAATAAACACCAAGCGGCCTCTTCTTGTCTTCCATCTGCTGCAGTTGTTCGTAAAATTCGTCCTCTATAGTTGGGTCTGAAACAGAGGCGATAGCGTAAACAGCTACCACAGTCAAATTCAGAAGTCCCTTTGAAACGAGCCACTGACAACATTGGGGATACTGGATTCCAAGCGATAGGTTTTGTTAATACGGCTACTTACGGCTATCGAAAAGCCCGGGGATCCGAGTTGTCCGTCGGTCTGCTGTGATAGAGCCACTTAGGAGCTTCCGATTGAGGAACCTGGATTCGTCATGTACCAAAGTTAGGTAACCGGGTATTTGAAAGATACTTGGTAGATAGTCGTAAAGATTGCGCATGCAGATGCCTTGGCTAAGGGTCGCAAGTGAGGCAAACACACGCCAACAACCGGTGAAGAGCTTTTTAACAATAAGGGACCCGGTTTGCTTTCTGGTCACTACAGTCGCCAGGTTTGCAAGGGAAAGTCGTTGTATTTTGAAGCCACTCACAGTGCCACCAGGCTTTGGTATGGGGTTCACCTCTAGTCTTTGCACAACCAAGCGCAACCTACATTACAGCAAGAAACACATAGTGAACAGGTGATCAGCAACGCCACCAGGGCCATTGGATTCGGGAACTAATCTAGTCCACCAAATCCACCGGAGCTTATCTACGTTCTCACCGCTGTTCCCTTGGAACAAGTATTTAGCCGACCGAAATGTCTAAAACCGAAAAGTATTCATTCCGCTGGAAGTCCACTGACCGTAAGATTTAGCCACGCATGCCAAACAATAGAACTTTTCACCGACAGTCAGTACGTTCTCTGCTTTAGCTATACCACCTGACCTAGCTACTCATGCTAACTTATACGCAACATAACCTAGTGTAGGTTTGCGAATACGTCCGCTTTTATATGACCATTCAGTTTAGTATGGGAAGAAATAAGCAGTCAGATGCGATTTAATTGACTGTGCATAAAATATGTTGCAACTGGGAATCGTTCTCTTCAGATCCCATTAACTGTAACTGACTTTCCGGAATTATTCTGCTGGGTAAAAGAAACGTCGTTTACTTGGTTCTTTATCCGCCTCAAAACCCAACCAACCTGAAAGCTAATTCACTTGGCCTGACGAGGTTAACGTGTCGAATTAAAGCCGTTAATCCACCGATCGTTTACCAAACGTTTCCGAAAATATGATTTCCCGATCGGTCTAAAACTTCCTCCAATTGATTGAACACATGAACTTTGTTGTTTTGGTTGACACACCACAGAGGTCAATTGATAGTACGAAAAAAAGCGGCGGCCTATAGTGATCCGTTTTTTCAGGAAGTGTAAAAGGTGCTGAACGCGTAATTTTCCGGATGAACACGACCATAAGCACCAACCATTTGGTTGTTGGTCTGTTCGCCGAGCTTGGCAGTTGGGTTGCAAGATCGTCAGTGCAGGGTTGAATGGAGACCCACCAACCATCTGCGTATAAATTTCGTTGTTAGTTGCCATGTGTATGCGATGAATATACAACACCTGTCAGACTTTTGAACAAATTTATTTACTTTTAGTCATTAATTTGACAGGCGTCAGTCAGGATTGTCATGCATATCGTTTGAAGGCACTAGTCACAAGTTTTCAGAATGCGTCAAAAGTCATATGTTGCGGTATTCCACCCAGTAATTGTTCGCTACATTTCCCTTATCGGTATAGATCTCTGCCCGTTCATATGGTGTCAAATTTATTGGCGGGAATCCCTTTGGTAGTAATCTGACCAAAATGTCAGATAAAAATACAACCTCCATGCCAGTTGCTCAAAATTTCGAATGTGAAAGGCATGGTCGTTGGAAGTGCACACAAACGGATCAACGTCGACACGTTGCACCTAAGTCAAGTGTAACTGGTGACTAAGGAGCAACATGACTGATGATCTTAGGTTTAACTGGTAAGTATCAGTTAAGGTGGAGGCCACGTTGGACTGAGCTTTCTTAGCTGATCTGTATGAGTCACAATCAAGTGATGCCGGTGGTGCCGGTCTAGACAGCTACACCAGCTTTTCTTATTTTCCTTATTAATTAGATTTCAATACCAAAATCAGTTGAAAATATATATTAAGCGTGACTAGTATAAGCGATACATACCTCAGAGAGCTGTCCAGTTTGCCCAGTTCGCAGTCAACATCATCATGGGCTGCAGATTCGCCTGTATTGTACGCCTTATCATACTACAGAGTGTCATGACAGTTTAGTGGAGCAAACGCATCCTACCTTGTGGTGCGCATTCGAAGGATGAAGCATCGCTTCCGTTCGCAATCCAACAGGCACCTCCTCCACACGACAATTGCTCACATGACAATCTGACGTGCGACAACCGGCTGGTTCGGAGAAAAATGGACAGCCTCGTGCCAAATTAATCTGCAACCAGAGGGGATACGCGAACCAGTTAACACAGGTCAATGATAGTCTCCGTGCTGTAAGATACTCAAACAGACCTACACCACCCGGATTAGCCGCCCATACGATCATGAATGTGCTTGCAACGATTCAACCTGACCTATAGTACTCCTAGACAAAGAACATGCGAGCCCAATTGTGTCACTGTTATAGCCAGTGAAGATTGTCCCACGGAAATATAACTCCGCCAAAGGAGTAGACTAGTGCATTTAAAGGCGGAGAATTGGAAGAAGACAGTATGGTTAAAGAGAACTATTGCCTTTGAATTGAGCCAACTGGTACGTGGTTCACGTAATGAAAGTAATAGAAGTCCCACAAGTCCAGTGGGGGTTTCAAGAGTGAAGAAAAGAGTCGAGTCCTCACTGAGATATCGTTTGTTGATCCAATTCACTTAGTATTCCAATCACTTTCCAAGCAGTCCTTCTTAACTTTATCACTGTTTTTCTACTTATCTTGTCTACATACTACCTAGGTGGTATGTGTGGAATCAGCATGTGTTGATACTACCAGAAGATCTTCACTTTCTTTTGGACCAGTAAGCGGAATTCTATACACGCTGCAAAAAACGGTCAAAATTTGTGCACGTTTATCAAACATCATGTTTTCGCTATATTCTGACCACGTTTGCACAATTTACGCATGGATGCAGCAGGGGGTTCTGGAAGTAAACGCTTGAAATTTTCACGTACGTAGTCGCACAGTCGTCATCACCATACACAGACTAGGTTTGTTGATACCGCCACAAGCAACTGAGTTCATAAGAATGGGCTGGCTCAGTGGTTAGAGTACGAATTTACTGACCGGAAGGTCTGTGGTTCGAACCGACTTCTGCCTCTTGACTTCGCCTGTCTAGGCTTGGTCAACTTGGCAGTATTCCAGCCTTCATACCTCCCCCTGGTGGCATGGTAGTTAGGCACCGAAAGGGTGCTACAGCTGAGCGATTATTTTTCTTAAGGACAAAAAATCTTGCAGACGAGAAACTGGGCCTGAACCGAGGAGGAAGTGTAGCCCGATAGATCGTCTATCTTGCCTTATATCAGAAGTTCAGCTTACCACACAGTGTCAAACTGTTCACTCGATCGATGGTTTGCACGTTAAGTTCAGTCTATAGTCGATTTAGATGGTAGGCACCAAGACCGTTCTTTCTGTGTTTGGCGTATGTCACTTCATGGTAAGTCCTTGTAGTAAATGTGCAGCTGTTTACGGGATCCCTATAAGGCTACGTTAAGTTTCATTTGATCGTTGTCACGAAGACCGATGCTGGCATATTATAAACGGTAAATAAATTTCTGCATTGATCTTTTACGATCCATGAAGTTCAAAAAGCAACAGAATAGATCGTATCTCCTGAATTTCATATATAAAGCACCGAAAGCAGTAACAGCAACCCAACTTGCTTTTACCTATCGTCTATCTGCTACATAGCTACGTAGCCACCCGAAGGAAGCACGAAGGCTGCGATACTGCCAACTTGCCCATGTCTAGACAGGGGAAGCCGAAATGAGAAGGTCGGTTTCGAAGCACCGACCTTCCGGTCAGTAAATTCGCGCTCTAACCACTGAGCCATCTCGCCATCTCTCGTTCAAAGGAGAAACCTAGGTTGATCGTTGTTGATAGTTGGAGGTGGTCTATCAAAAGGTATCAGTTTCTGAGAAAATTTAACGGCACAGGACTGAAGTGATGAGCGGTTTCCATACTTAGGAGAAAGTCGGGGAAGGGGTGCAATCACCTAGATGGATCTAGAAAACGTGGACATACAAAACAGCGGAAAACATGTGTTGTCAAACAGGGGAATGTACCTAGCAACTACGGAATATTCTCACCAAGTGCTTCCCGAAAAGTTTAGTGGACTGCGAAATGATATCAAAGGAAAACAAATCGGTGAATCAACAGGCACTAGTTGTTCGAAACTCACCTCAAAGTAATGGAAATAGTCGCGGTTAACAATGCTTTGGAGGCGTGGGAGGATTTCGTAGTTGTTCAAGTGATTAACATATTCGATATCCGCGTGAACATCTCCGATGTGGCCTTGGTTCTTCAAAGGTAGAACATATGAACGAACAGAATGACTTACTTTTGGGAAACAACTCTCCTCGGTTAATGTGACTATGACCGCTACGATGAGTAGAGAGGGACCGAGGTCTAGTCGTGTCATACAGATGCAGATGATTAATTAGACTCAGTGGGATCCAAAATAGAATATTTGCAACGATGCTGAAAATATGTGAAAGAACTAATCACGAACTATTAAAACCGAAGAATCCCATGATATAATTAGCAAAACACCTAGTCCCGCTGACAAAAGCGTCGCATCGGTCGCACAAAATCCTTTTCAGGCCAGGTAGCAGGTTCACTTACGGTTACCACTCAATGCCCGTCTCACAGAGGTAGCATACTGTACAACAAACCACAACAAGTAGTGTTCTATGCAAGATTATGTTTGATATCACAAACAGGATAACAGAAAACCTTTTAATGAGACAGGTGATCGTTCAACTCCACCTTTGAATTCCCGATGTCTAGGCATGGGCGATCAGACAGTATCACTCCCCGTATCTACTCTGACTACCGCCTGCGTAGACGCACGGCTTCTTGGATGAGTTGAATGGCAAACACCAATGCGGGAATACCTGTAGAAGGGCTTTGTGAGCTATTCATTGTACACTGATTACAAAAATAAATCGTTCAGCTGTAGCAGCCTTTCGGTGTCTAGCTGCCGTGCCACACGAAGGAGGCATGAAGGCTGGGATACTGCCAGATCGTCCAAGCTTAGAAGGGGAAGTCGAACCACGGGGTTTCTGGTCAGTAAATTCGCGTTCTAACCACTTGGTCCAGCTCGCTCCTGCACACTGATTCCAAAGACGTAGGCATTCAACATCAGATCTCAATGCAATAGAATCTCGTATACATCATACACTGTATTCACATGCGTGCGAGCGCGTGAGTGTGGGGATATTTCCAAAAGGTCTCCCCCAATGAATATGTTAATTCTCTCCTTTATTGTTTAACTTTTTTATTGAGATAAGCAGGCGAAAACTTAAGTCTGGAAAATCCCAGCGATCAGATCTCGCTGAGCGAGAAGCTTGTTGACCTGGGATATGCGGATGACATTCATCTCGTTTTTGAAAGCAGCAGGACGCGCAAGCATTACTAGAAAACCTGAAACACATCATCCAGCTCTTCGATATGTGATTCGCACCCGCAAAGTGCAGTCATGCTGCCTCTATGAATTCAAGGAGTGACGCTAAGAGTTGTGAAAGTTTACACCTATCTTGGAAGTTGCATTAGCTCGAGAAGCAGTGTAACACAATTGATAGCACGAATATCGAAGACAAGAGGTATGCTTGCCAATTCGCACCACTCGTATCATCAAAAAGGCCCTTAACTGGGTTTCAAAGGACGCGTGTATCATACTGTATTGTCATACGGCTGCCACAGGCGACAACTTTGGGCGGTTCCCTCTTTGACCGGTGATGCCCAAAGATTATAGCGGAAGTAGCTGGAACCAAGGAATTCGGAGTAGAAAAATGAAAAATAGTTCAGCTGTAACACCCTTTCGGTGCCTAGCTGCCGTGTCACCCGAAAAAAGCACGAGGACTGGGATAATACCATAACAAACCATGTTGCCCGAGCCTAGATAGGAGAAGTCGAGATGCAGAGGCCAGGACCAGGAGACGGGTTTGAGGAGAAGTATCTTGTATTCAAAAGCATACGCGGTATTTACGTCTGTCTACATAAAAGGCAATAACGCTGCCTTTCGGCGGAAGTGCCGACGGTTACGCATATACGAAAGGGACGTACAGTCTGCCACATGGGTCCTTCGCGCGAACTAACTTCGCCCTGGACATGCTGCACCGGCTACATCGGAAAACTCAATTCCACTGGACATATTGTTGGATACTTTTGAGTTAACATCCACACATGTGCCTACTGTGCAGACCGACAAAACCCCAGTGGAATCCATACGCATACAAAGACGGTGGTCCAGTCGCAACCCACAACCATTTACATCAACGCATGTGATTCCACATCTGAAAACCTACACACATTTTGAAAAAGGGAGGTGTCAGAACGGTCGGGTCCAAACGAACAATTCTAACTTGTACAATATTTGACTGTTTCGGTTTCTCAATTCGTAATAATTTACTTGTTTAAGAATACGCTGGAACCGTGCCCAAGTGTTTCGACACAGATCCAAATTCTCTAGATGCCACAACGCGTTGGAATCATTGGTCCCGGACCTTCCAAACGTTTCTGGGCACTGTCAAATCGCCTAATTCAAATAAACTCGGAACCTTGATTTATTTTGTGGATGCACCTGTATACGTTTACATCGCTGACTGTCCCGACTACAACACCAGTCAACATGTTAATCAGTCTGTTCAGGGGCTTAAATCCCTACCCAAAAATTGTTATTTCAAGGCGGTGTCTGCCATTGACCATCAAAACGAAAGTGTACACTATGCTCTGATCAACGGACTTCAGTCTACTACCATCAGAGAAAGACTTCTGGTTCAAAATGAACTCACTCTCGAAGAAGCGCATGAATTGGCTAGGCCATTAGAATTGGCCTACAAACAAGCTCAGTCATACTCGCATAACCAACCCATATCATTTTCTGCGACTGCAGCACCTTTAGACGTCTACGGTTACCACTTTGCACTCCCCCTGATTGCACACCTTATCTCTCGTCAATCACTTCTCATATATGTAATTTTGCGGTCGTTCCAGGTACCTACGACCCAAATGCCCCGCAAGAGAAGCAGAGTGTAAATCATGTGGCAAAACAGACCATTTCCAGCGTGTTTGTCGATCCGAATCTGTAAAACGAATCACTCAAGTTGCACAACTGTTGACTGTTGCAGCCCCGAACTGCTTGTCCCGAACGGTGACCAAGATAAAAGAGAACGGAATATCACTTCAGGCCCTAATAGACATGGAAATTTCGAGCAGTTATATATCTCCTTAGTTCGTGCACATGGCTGGAAGACATATGCTAAACATTCTGCGATCACCCTGGCATCTACCTCTCTGACGTGTTCAACTAGCGGCTACTGCTATGCATCCATCGATTATAGAGGTACTATTTACAAAACAATCAAACCATTGGTGTAACCCAATCTATGTGCTGACGATCTGCTAGGCCATAGCATCCTTGGTCTACATAACAAAGTTGAAATCACATTCGGTGGGAACCAACCAACCTCGTAACCTAGCCACTTGGCCTGACGGAGTTTCTGTGTCCAAAGAGAAACGTTACCCGGAAATAAATCTACATATTGTTACCAAACTTTTCCGAAAACGATGACTACTCAATCAGGTCCGATCGTTTTCACCTGATTGTGTTGCTAGCATGTTTGCACATTATTCGCAATGGATACGATACTTCTCTGAGACAATCAGTGTGCTTGTCAGAAATAAGACTTTCTCAGTACCGGAATGTGCACAAAGTCCTTCAAAAATTTAAAGGAGTTAGATAACGCTATGGTTGTGAGATTCGACTGCAACACACCCTTGGTTGTCGAGGTCCCTCTTACATAGCCATCGCTGCATCTGACTCAGAACGGCCGACCGGTAGCGTTCTTTTCTAGAACACTGACATCGAGTGAAAAGGATCACTGTGCTGTCGAAAGAGGCATGCGCCATCGTTGAATCTACCCGTAAATGGAAGCATTATCTCTTCAGAGAGCACTTCAAGCTTATCACTGACCAGCAGTCGGTGTCGCAGAAAAGTAAAAAACGATAGAATCTGGCGATGGAAAATGGAACTCCCCGCTTTTAGCTACGATGTCAGCTACAGACCTGGAAAAGACAATCTGGAGGCTGATACCTTATCGCGTGACCTATGCGCCAATGTGATCGACAATGGTAGATTAAAAGAAATTCATGTTTTATCCCGGAATTACTCGCATGCACCACTTTGTTCCTTCTAAAAACTTGCCGTTCTTCCCTCCACCACCACAAAATCTACGGTTTGTGCCGCCATCAAACCGCAATTTTACAAACCACCCCCGCTAGGCTCATCAAAGTGGCTCAACCACTCTGTAACTGGAAACCGATAACTCCTTACTATCGCTGACGAAATTTCCCGTTTTCGATTTGGTTTTTCCTACGTAGATACATATGCATCTATCGTTATTAAATGCCTGTTTGAATTCTTCTCTTTGTTTGGTATGCTTGCATACTTACATTCGGATCATGTATCCTCGTTGATATCTGACGAACTGTCCACATTCTTACATGACACAGGAGTTTGCATCAGCCGAACAACTTCTTATAATCCCCAGGGGAACGGGCAGGCTGGACGCCTCATCGGGACACTCTGGAATGCAATCCAGCTCAGACTCAAGAAGAAAAGCCTTCAAATCTGTTACTGGGAATCGGCTCTATGAGATGCCCGCCACTCTATACGGTTCCTTTTCTGCGTCTCCACGAATGCCACTCCACATGAACGAATGTTCCAACTTGAACGCCGTTCATCCTGTGGTTTGTCTATGCCAACTTGGCTAACTACCCCAGGACCTGTTTTACCGAAACGACTTGACCGTGTCTCATAGTATGAACCAACCGCTGAGAAGGCCGAACTTATAAATTGCAATCCACATTATGTCCACGTTTGTTTTCCCGGTGGAAAAGAAGACCCTGTATCCGATTGCCATCTCTCTCCTTGTGGTGTTCGCACACACTTCAACGAGTTTACACGTTTATACGACCCTCCATCTGACTTGCACGCGCCATGCTCAATAACGCTGAAGATAATACCGAGCATAATACAGTCACCCCCGTGCCCGGGTGATGCCCCTGCATCTCCAAATACCTATGACCCTGGCAGCGCTGATTCAGCCAGGCTCCAGCAACGTACGCGACCCTAAATTTTAAGAAACCGAAAAGCCTGACCTCGCTTATCACTACCCTTTAGTAGATTTTACAATCATTTATTCGGCCGTTGTGTCCGAGTTACTCTTCACACACAATCCAACGGCCTGGGTGACTGTCACGGCTATCCTTTGTGTTCACACTGTCGTCCCGTATTAACCATGCTTTCGCCCTCATTTTCAGTTTATGTAGTCTATTCTTAGACCAGTAAAGCGCTATGCACTCCATGATATTCACTTTTGTTCTCGCGCCCAATCAGGATCGATACTCCATTCGTAACACATTCCTCCTCCTCCTCAGTACATCGATTGTCTCAATTATGATTTCGCACCAGTAAG